AGATATGGTGGGATAATAGTGTCCATCGCCCCCGCTCTCCTGCAGTACTGGAAATCAAATTCTTAATGTTCTTTTTAAAAAACACATATGTCTGTGTGTGTCTTATAAGTCTGGAATTCTGCAGCCCTGCTGGTTGTACAGTAGCTGACACCTCGGATGAGCGTCCTGCTCCTAAATTTTTAACAGCTGGAGTCCACACATGCCTCAGACAAGAGCTGGGCCCGCTTCAAGCGCAATAAATCGGGTATCGTCTTGGTCTGAAAATGGAAGTTACATCTCTCAGCAGCACGCCCACGTTCTTGCTCGCAAATGCAGTTGAGCAGATGATGGCTTCCTCGTGTTTATGCTGGTTTTGCCTTTAGTTTGTAGGTTTGAGTTTGTTTGCCAGAGCTGACATGCTGTGGCCGGATGGTTCCCGGGTGGAGCCGGGAATTGGAAGGGTGCAGGAAGCAGCTCCGACAGTCTTTCCCGGCACTTGGATAAACACGGAGGGTTTTATTTAAATCCCAAGGCTGGATCTAACGTCAGTATAAATCGGTGCAGGCTTCCATGGATCTGTGTGAGCTGGTGCAAGGAGGTGATCCGGCGTTGTGCTTTTTTTGGGCCAGATCCTGCAAACTCCCTTCCAGTGCTCCAGGGGCTTGCGGTGGGAGACCTTCTGCATATGAGAGTGGTGGGATGGGGTCGTGGGCATCGCTGTGCTTCTTCCCAACATCTTCTGAAGTGGGTTTGCCATTCCTCAGGCTGCTCAGCATCTCCATGAACCTTGTGGGAAGTTACTAGTGGAGGAGGACAGAGGCTGGTGGTGCTGGTGTTGGAGCAAGCTGTCCCCACACCTGACAAAACCTGATCTCCGCTGCCTCCACAAGTGCCCATCCCAGGAGCTGGGGGCTGGAGAGGTGCCAGCTTTTCCAGCAAGGGAGGAAGGGGCTGCAGGGGGGTCTGGGCAGCGCAAGAGCCATCAGAGCAAATGGCGAGCAGGTCCCTTGCAGGAGCTTTCACTTGGAGAGTGGGCAGTGGTACGGGAGGTTTTACCGGGGCCTACGTTTTGGGGTTTTTTTCTTGGGTTTTTTTTTTCCCCCTCTTTTTTTTTTTTTTCCCCCGACCTTGGCTTGTCCTTCATTTGAAGGCTGCCAAACCGGGGGAGCTGAGCCTGGGGAATGTGGAGGCGCTGAAGGAAAGAGTCCTTCACACTGATGCCTTTTGTGTTGCAGGGTGTCAATGGCTGAGGCTGTCACTGAAATGCAAATGTGTATTTTTCCACTGATCCAAGCTACTTTTTTTTTTTTTTTTTTTTCGGTAAACAAGCATAGTGCACGTTTTAAAGGCAGCTTCTGTCCAACATCTTGGTGTGGCTTAGTGCAGAGGTGATGCTGACCTCAGTAATTTGGTGATAGCACATCATCACCAGCACAGATGGCATGCGAGGCTGGGGAAGGATGGTACATCCCCCTTCTCAAGGTAGGAAATGGAGGCTGAGAGAAGCAAAGGCAGAACGGGGCGATTCCCAGCATTTCGGGTGATGTTCCTGCATCCTGGGTTAGAACTAGGCGATTCTCAACCTTTCACGTGATGCTCCTGCATCCTGGGTTAGAACTGGGCGATTCTCAGCCTTTCAGGTGATGCTCCTGCATCCTGGGTTAGAACTGGGCGATTCTCAGCCTTTTGGGTGATGCTCCTGCATCCTGGGTTAGAACTAGGCGATTCTCAGCCTTTCACGTGATGCTCCTGCATCCTGGGTTAGGTCAAGGCCTCCCAGACACATCTCAGGGCACTTCCATGTGCTCATCTCAGTAGCATTACCCAATGGATGGAGCTGTCACTGTCCCCTTCCTAAGCTCGGAGTAATCTGTTTTAAGTACATCCCCTGCCTGATACGGCACTGGAGATTGAACCAAAGAGCCATTTCTCATCACCGGGGCATGGGATCACATTAGTCCCTACCCCACATAGCAAAACATTTCAACTTTCACTGGGTCTGGGGGGAAAAGCACCCCTAAGCATTATGATGGCATTTACCTGAGAGCCCAAGTTCTGGTCCCTGCTCTTAAATGCCCTGGTTTAGGTATTGAAGAAACTCTTCTCACCGTTTGCTTGCTGGTTTGGGCCTGACGAATCACAGAATCGTTTAGGTTGGAAAAGCCCTTTAAGATCATCAAGTCCAACCGTTCCCCTAACCCTGCCATCCCACCACTAAGCCGTGTCCTTAAGCACCTTGTCTGCCTGGCTTTTAAATCCCTCCAGGGATGGGGACTCGACCCCTTCCCTGGGCAGCCCATTCCAAAGCTTGACAACTGTTTTGGTGAACAAATTTTTCCTAATGTCCAATCTAAACCTGCCCTGGCACAACTTGAGGCCATTTCCCCTTGTCCTATTGCCTGTTACTTGGGAGAAGAGACCAACATCCACCTCGCTACAACCTCCTGTCAGGTAGTTGTAGAGAGCAATGAGGTCTCCCTTCAGCCTCCTTTTTCCCTTTTTTCCAGAAGGACCTGGATGGTAGAAAACCTGTCTGCTGTGTGGTCAGGACATGGGGACATCAGGTGGAAGCAGCAGGCAGCGGTTCTGGAGTCGTCAGGAGGAGGCAGCTGGGTTTGGTCTTCCCATAAACCATGGAACTTCTGGATCCAAGAGTTAAATCCAAGTGTACCTCCCCCAGCGGGAACGTCCCCTCTGACTTCTCTGCAAGCACAACTCCGCTGCAGAAAGGTCCCTTCCCCACTAACGTTAGCTGATTTTGAAGAGGCAAGGTGTTTCACTTTCAGCAGGCAGAGAAAAGGGGGAGGCCAACCACTAACGGCAGCCAGAGACGGCGGTTTGAGCACCTTGTGTTTCCTCCTAGAGCTGCCTGTCCCCTGAGGACCCCACGTGTCCCCAGCAGTAAGTGGCAGCACCTTCTGGGCTGCTGTAAATCACATCGGCGGGGTTGGCAAGTGCAAGTCCGGATGGCATTGCTGCCCTGGGTTCCTACCCTGAGGAGCCACCTCCTGCTGCTCCCGGGCAGGCGCAGGGGGTTGTGCCACGGGGTAAAGTACAGGCAGGCTCTGCCGGCGGGCTCGGCTGACTGGCGTTACAGTCCACCACCTCGTCACCTAGGCCTGAGCTTATCGGGCTTAAAACACACCAGGGG